CAAGTAATATTCAAAAATTAGAATTTATCCTAATTACATAGATTTAATAAGGCAAACTTTCATCGAGTTATCCTAAGCAAATTGGTTGTGTGGCAACATTTTCGATAATTCCAAACTATTTGAAAGTATTTTTTTTTAGCATAGAAAACATATTTTCTTTTAATATAACAAAATGCCAAAAATTAAGTATAAAAATGAAATTAATAATTAAAACATAAAAAATTAGTAGCAATATAGATTTTTTAAAATATTTAATTTTAACATTTAATAGTAATTTTTTTTTGTTGTAAATATGAATATAACTTAATAGTCATTAAACAATATTAATAATATGGAATTAACATAACAAAAATATATTAAAATATGTAAAAATTCATTAAAAATAATATAACTAAAACTCATGTAATTTATAATGAAGTAAATCAAATATTGGCTGCAAACAATTTTTTTAAAATAATTAAAAATGAAAATTTCACATTCTATGATCATTTGGCTTACTTTGAGCCACAAAAACTCAAACATCTTATAGTTTCTAATGACAAAAAGAGGCATAAATTTAAATGAGGGATATAATAATACAACCTAGAATCTTATTTCGGCAAAAATGATTTTCAGAAGCCTAAGTTTTGAAGGTCAAAACTTGACCATTTACCATAAACAGCCTAGATTTTTTGAGTTTTAGATTCATGAAGCCTACTTTGAGGCTTTGATTCTATTAGCTTATAAATCATCTAAACAAACCAATTATATCACTAGAAAGCTCACATTTCGTACTATCAAAAGCACACAAAATTTGACCAAATCGGCCATTGAAGTAGAGAGTTCTGGTGGCTCAAAGTTAGGCGTATGTAATTATCAAAAATGCAAAAAATCATAAACTTGAAAAACTAATTACTCAACTAAATGAAATGCCACATATACATTAGAAAGGTCTTGAAGGGACCTATTCATTTATGCCTACAATTTTGTCGAATTATCACTAGAAAGTCACCGAAATATTTGTAGAGATGAAAATATACAAATATCTAGTTTGCATGAAAATTCTAAAAGTTTTAAGTAAAATCTTACTTTAATTAGAGATTTTTAAAATCGATTTGCCCTTTTTCTTCCTCTCTTCTTCTTTTTGAGGGTTGGTTTCTCCCAAATCCCCATTTTTTTTTTGACAAAAAAATATCATCGAAAGTAAAACTACCGGTATATTAAAAAGGCATGTTAATAAAATATTTTTATTGTAAATAAAAGTTCTATTGGGTCAAGTTTTTAATTATGGCAAAACATGGGCTGAAAAATATAATTTTAAGAAAAGAATTTTTTTTCTAGAGACATAAATCATATAATATAATACTACCGCATGTTAATTTTATGGGTATTACACATATCTTTATTTTTTTCAAGGTATCTCTTCTACAATTATTGCTATATATAATTGTGATGGGTTAATTGTAGAATATGACATGGGAAGTGAGTTGTCAACAAAAGGTGATATGTATAGCTTTGGCATCCTCTTGCTAGAAATGTTTACTAGGAAAAGGCCAACCAATGAAATGTTCAAAGAAGGTTTCAACCTTCACAACTTTGTTGTGATAGCTTTGCCAGAACGAGTGATTAAGATTATAGATCCCATTTTTCTTTAAGAGAAAGTCAAACGAGAAAATGACAAACATCTTCGATGCTTGCATTCAATATTGAAATAGGAGTCATTTGTTCTGCTAAATCTCCAAGTGAATGGATGGACTAGAGTGATGTTGTTACCAAGCTTTGTTCTATTAAAGATAAGCTTCATCCAACTCGATTACATCACTTGGGCTGAACTTTGTATGCTGTTCATATTGGGAATAATGACTTAAATCCCATAAGAGATTTATTTAGGATTGGCCAGATATTTTTTGATGGATAAGAAGACTTATAGAAGAAAAATTCTAAGAAAAAAGGAGATTCTTAATAGGCAAGTTTAACTTGCAAGAGAAGAATTCTAATAAAAAAGGGATTCTTAATAGGTAAGTTTATATGGTTATAAATAGGTAAAGTCTTTATAGGGTTAGGTATGAGAAAAATATGTAAGAGAGTTGTAGAGTTTTATGGGTAGACATCCCATAAGACTCTTGAAGATCTACATATTATATGTGTGTATATTTGTCTGTGAGTAGATTAAAGGAGACTGAGAGGATCTACATAGGTATGATGTATGGGTGCATATGGGTATGCGTTTGGTTATGTTGAAAGGATGCACATGGGTATGTGTTTGTTTGGGTTGAAAATACTCTATGGGACTAGAGAAGATTGAGAAGGTCTATGGGTATTGATTGTTAAGTAGTTCATATATTTTGATGTATGTTTGTAATTCTCTACAACTAGTGGATTTTGTTTCTCATCCATGGATGTAGGTTAGTTAGACCAAATCACGTTAAATTGTGTTTCTTGTGTGATTGATTGATTATTTAATTTCGCTTCCACTGATGTGATTGGATTGAAGTTTTTTAGCCTAACAAATGATATCAAAACTGTAGTGATTCCCAACAGCTCAATCAGCAGGTAAACAATTTGCATTATTCTTAACAAAATACTCAAACCATTACATGACTTATGGCACATGTCCACTTCTTTTCAGATAAATACTGTGTTCAGATGATTTGAACAAGTAGATTGTTTTTTGGTTACATTCTGTTGAAGTAAATATGATGGTTTAATTTAGAGATTTCCTTGTTATCATATGCTTCAGGTATCTGAGGAGCCATATGAATGGACTTGAGAGGCTTAAGTGTGGCAAAGTACTGCCATTCCTTTATTTCACATTGTATCTGGTATTTGCGGAAGTAAAACTTTTCGAACAAGCACTCGAGTTGGAGAAGAGAAAAATAAAAAGCAAGTTTGTCGACCAATTATTGGTGTCTGTAATTTGTGTGAATTTCCTTTTCTTGTGGATTATCATCAAATCAGAATTCAGAATAATGCAAATAAGTTGTTCTGTTACACCTTTTTTGGCTGGTTAATCTAATTTTTCTGATATTTTTTAGAAAAAAATAAGACAATTCAATCAATCCATTTGGTTTAAAAAATAAGCTAAGTAACATTCCCCCTTTATAAACTAGTTAGATAAAGTGACACTAATGACTCCTTGGTGAACATATTTAATAATATCTACGATGCTACTCAGCTCACAAATATTAATACTAGAAATTCAACATTGTCTATGTGCATGTTGAGATAGAACCATAACTGTTTCCTTGTTCTGAATATCACCACTGCATCAAAGTTTAATTCTACATACCACCATTACCTTTGTCCTTTCATTCTTTCGTGTCATAAATTATTGGACAGATCAATGAGAAAACTTCATAAGGAATTTCTATAAAAGGCATATTTGAAGGCAAGAGTAAGGTGATGAAAAGCATATAACCAGCTCAAAGCCTCAAAGTTCAAGTAAAGATGATGAAAAGCATAATATCAATATTTCTGCATGCAACTTTAAGCACCTAGCAAGTCAAGCCTAATTAGAAACCAGAATAAGTAAAACAACGTTCTTTCTTAAATATATTAAATATTTTACTATAATTTAAAATTATTCATACCATTAATTTTTAGTTAATATATACAGGGACGCATTCATTTGATGTATGAACTCAGACCATTAAATTTGCATGCATGTGGACTTAATTTAGAGTTTAGTTATTGAGATTATGGTCTTGTGGCTTGAATTCAAAGCAAGCCATTGCTAGCTATAACTTAAAGAGATTACAGGGTCCATTGATCACCTTTGTTTTTTTTTTGTTTTTTTAATGAGAATCTCCACCAACCATTACAACATTGATATTGACACAAGTTCAATGGAATGAAGGTCATTTAGTAAATTTTCCAAGTCAACTGAATCTTTTTTCTTTCCCCTTCTGAGAATCTCTACAACTACATTGTAGCCTACAAGTTATGTGATTAAAAAATTAGCTTCTAATCAATAACTTGTCCAACAAACAAAAAGCATTCAACTCCAAGCTAAACAACTAAACAGCATAACGCGTAGGGAATTGATTTCAGAATAAACAAGAATCAGACGCCTTCTATTTTGTTGGTTTGTATTTTCAACTTTCATTTCCATTTTTCCTACTTTCAACATCAAATGCTCTTATAATTTGACACAAAAAACAATGTAAATATATATATGCATTCTTATCTCTGATGAATGATATTCCATCATTAGATATGGATATGGGGATTTTTTTTTCCTTTATTTTGCAGTGAAAGTTAGGGCAGGATCAGAAATATCTGAAACTTGGGAAAACTGAAAATGCGGATCTGAAGTGAGTTATGCCTTGAACACCAAAAGATAAGAAAATTTCCAACTCATTAATTGCTATAGCATCCTTTTGAATGGAGCTAGTTTTAATTGGTACATGAATGTGAATGCAGTTTCACTGCATATAATCATGCATTTGGATATTTTGGCACTTAAGAAATACTTGAAAAAATCTATTTGAATCCTTGGCATTTGGAGATTTTTTCTACCACTTTTACTGCAGTGTAGTCTTCAATTAGTCTTTGTATTAAAATCTGGTTGGTAACTAGTATATGGCTGCATGTCATGAAACTTGATAATAATAGCCATAAGAAAACTGATTGTACATGACAATAACTATTTATTTTTTCAACAGTCGCCTGGCCTGTTAGTAGCGTATTAAATTCTTATTTTCTCTATTGGCTGGTGGTCCAGAGAAATTCTTATATTTGAAAGCATATAAAAATATCTCGATTCAGCACCAAACTTTGAAATTTTGCAGTCGGCAAGAGACTTAGCCTTACTTTTCTCTTTATCGGGACCTTGAGTATCTATGGCTTCAGTCAAGGCCGGTAACTATATCTTTAGTCCTCTCAAAGAGAAATTCATGAAAGGGACAACACTCAACAGCAAATCATTATAGATTCAACCTTAGAGATCAACACTGTTTTTTACAAGACATAAAAAAAAGGTACCCGAATTTCTTAATTTTTCCTACTCTTTTGCTATAAAGATGCTGCAGAAAGAACTAATATTCTGTTTAATCTTGTTGCCGAAGCAAACACCGCAAGATGCAAATAACAATAGTATGATTTCAAGTAGTCTTTCTTTGTTGATGAGGCTATCAGAAATGCAGTTCAAGGCGCCTTGGTCACTTCAAATTTCCACCCATGTTGCTGTCGTTCTTCTCTTATGCTTCAATCTTACAAGTCCTTTCTTTCTTGGTTCAGCAGCCTTGGCAATTAATGGAAATGAAACAGATCAACAGGGTTTGCTCCAGTTTAAGGCCAAGATAACTGGTGATCAGCTTGGGATTATGCGTTCGTGGAACAACAACGTCCATTTTTGCCAATGGCGTGGTGTTAAATGCGGACGACTACATCAGAGAGTTACCAGGTTGGACTTGCCAGCACTGAAACTAATGGGACCAATATCACCTTATGTTGGAAACTTGAGCTTTCTACGGGTATTAAGTCTTCGCAACAACGGCTTCATTCAAGAACTTCCTCAAGAAATCGGCCGTTTACATAGATTGGAAGAACTAAATCTTCATAGAAACCTCATAGTTGGTGAAATTCCTTCCAATATATCTGGTTGTTTGAAGCTCAAACATCTTTACATTGAACACAATCTGCTAGTTGGAGAAATACCTGCTGCACTTGGCCACTTGTCAAACCTGAAGGAATTAAGCTTTAGCAACAACACATTAAGAGGGAGTATCCCTCCTTTTTTAGGGAACTTGTCATCTCTGGAGATAATCTATCTGCCTCTAAATAGGTTGTCTGGGATTATCCCTGAAGCTCTTGGGCAACTGAAGAATCTTACCACTTTTGCCGCGGCAATTAATAAATTGTCTGGTATGGTTCCGTCCTCACTTTTTAATCTCTCTAATGTCACAAAACCTGATATTGGGGAAAATAACTTTCATGGAAGTCGTCCCTCACAATTGGGAGTCAACAAGCCATATCTTGAACTGTTTTCTGATAGCCAGAACCAACTGAGTGGACTATTCCCTCCTTCAATAACAAATGCCTCTAACCTCATCAATCTTCAGGTTTATGGAAACAAATTTACTGGAAAGATAGCTTCATTCCGAAAGCTAGAAAAATTGCAAAGATTGAATGTTGCTGACAATCTTCTTGGTAGTGAGGGAGCAAATGACTTAAACTTCCTCTGCTCTTTAACTGGTGCCACCAGCTTGGAATATGTAAAAATCAGTTACAACAGCTTTGGAGGGATATTACCTGAGTGCATAAGCAATTTGTCAACTGCTATCACCTTTTTTGCTATGCAAGACAATAACATAGTCGGGACAATACCAGCAGGATTTGGAAATCGAATCGACTTGGAGGTGCTGGAGGCAGGAGGAAATCAATTATCAGGTACCATTCCATCTGTGATTGGCAGGCTTCAAAAGCTAAAATTATTTGCTGTAAACATTAATTCCATCTCTGGATCCGTCCCCACTTCATTAGGAAATTTAAAGATGTTGATCGAGTTGTATCTAAATGACAACAATCTTCAAGGCGAAATTCCTCCATGAAAAAAGTTGGGGAAAGAAAGGAAATTATAGAGGAGAAAGAGGGGGTTTCAATTTTGAAAAAAAATTTTAGCCGCGCTATTTCGTCACGATAGCGGCATTTACTTAAAAAAATGTCACTATTTGCAAAAAAGATTATTGAAGTCATTTTTTGAAAAAAAAAATGCCATCAATAATTCCTTCCAATTTTTTTGAGGAGAGTATTTGAGGCGTTTTTTTGACAAAAATGCTTTCAATAATCCCCTTTAATTTTTTAAAAGGGATTATTAAAGGTATTTTCTGCAAAAAATGCTTTTAATATTGCCCTTCATTTTATATGAAAAGATTATTGAATGCGTTTTTTATAGAAAATGCCTTCAATAATCCTCTCCAATTTTTTTAGAGGGGATTATTGAAGGCATTTTCTATAAAAAAATGCCTTTAATAATTCCTTCTAATTTTATAAGAGATTATTGAAGGCGTTTCAGGTAAAAAATGTCTTAACTAATCTGCTCATAAAAAAGACAAACGATTATTGAAGATGTTTTTTTTGCCAAAAATGCCTTCAATAATTTCGCTAAAAAATTGTAGAGGATTCCTAAAGGTGTTTTTGGTAAAAAACACCTTCAATAAATTTTCTTATCAATAAATTTATCAAAAATAGAATAGCATTGTCGGTTAGAGCATATGATTGTTAATTATAAGGTTGTAAGTTTGATCCTTCTTTTTAGCATCTTTTAGGATTTTTGAAGGCATTTTTGGCTAGAAATACCTTCAATAAATGCTGAAAAGAAATATTGAACCTATAACTTTATGATTAACAACCATATGCTCTAACCGTCAATGCTGCTCCATTTTTCACAGATTTATTGATAAGGATATTTATTGAAGGCATTTTCTGCAAAAAATGCCTTCAATAATCCCTTTCATTTTTTTTTTTATAAAGGGATTATTGAAGGTGTTTTAGGCAAAAAATCCTTGAATAATCTGCTCATAAAAAATAAAGGCGATTATTGAAGGCATTTTCTACTGCCTTCAATAATTTCGCTAAAAAATTGTAGAGGATTATTAAAGGCATTTTTTATCAAAAACACCTTCAATAAATTTTCTTGTTAATAAATTTATAAAAAATAGAGTAGTGCTGTCGAGTAGAGTATATGATTGTTAATCATAAGGTTGTAGGTTTGATGTCTTCTTTAGCATTTTTTAGGTTTATTGAAGGCATTTTTTGCCTCAATAATCTCTTGAAAATTTTAAAAAATGTTGAAGGAAGGGATTGAACCTATGATCTTATAATTAACAACTATATACTCTAACCATCAATACTACTTTATTTTTCACAAATTATTGACAAGGAGATTTATTGAAAGCGATTTTGCCAAAAAATGCCTTCAATAATCCTCTACAATTTTTTTAAAGGAATTATTGAAAGCGTTTCTAGCAGAAAACACCTTCAATAATTACTTTTATTTTTTATGAGTAGATTATTCAAGGCATTTTTTGCCTGAAATGCTTTCAATAATCACTCCAATTTTAGCGATAGGATTATTCAAGGCATTTTAGTTGATAAATGCCATTAATTTTTGTCTTTAATGGCGTTTATATGTATAAACATCGCTATTTGAATATTTAGTGGTGTTTGGATAATAAACATCTAAAGTTTTATAAAAACACAGAAACTAACAGCGTTTGTAAGTGAAAGGCCACTATAAAATTGTCGCTAATACATTATTTTGCTATAGTGAGTCTAGGCAATTGTGAAATCTGATTTTTTTTTAAATCTCTTTAATAACAATCTCAGTGGTTCATACCTTCTCAAATAGCAGGAGTATCATCTTTGTCTATCGATCTAAACTTATCTTTGAACCGTTTGACTGGCATGCTTCCTTTAAAGTAGAAAATTTAAGAAATCTTGGTGAATTAGATGTTTCTCAAAACATGTTATCAGGTGTCATTCCAAATGATCTTGTTAATTGTGTAAAACTGAAGGTACTACTGATGGAAGGTAATTTCTTCAATGGATCAATCCCTTCATCTTTAAGTTTATTAAGAGGTCTTGCAAATTTAGACCTTTCTAGAAATAATCTCACTGGTAAAATTCCAAAATTTCTTGTGACATTTGGCACTTTATGCTGCTTGAATCTTTTTTACAACAATTTCGAAGGTCTAGTACCAGTTGATGGAGTCTTTAAAAATGCAAGTGCTATATTCCTTGAAGGGAACAGTAAGCTTTGTGAAGGCACTCTTAAGTTCCACTTGCCAACTTGTGATAACTTGAAACATAGAGGGAGATCAACTATTTCACTTAATAATTGCTATCGTTTTTGTGCTTTCAAGAGTTTTTTTGGTTTTTTCCCTCATGTTTCTCTTTTGGTTTAGAAAGAAAATAAAGCAACCTGCATCACCAAACGTAGAAAATCCATTGTTAAGGTTATCATATCAAAGCATCCAAAAAGCTACCAATGATTTCTCCTCAGCAAATTTAGTAGGTATAGGTAGCTTTGGTTTCGTATATAAAGGAATTCTTGAAGAGAATGGAACAATTATTGCCATCAAGGTACTTAAACTTTTGAGTCATGAAGTTTTCAGGAGTTTCTTGGCTGAATGTGAGGTCTTAAGGAATGTTAAGATGTCGAAACCTTGTCAAGGTGTTAACAACATGTTCTAGTGTGGACTATCAAGGCAATGATTTTAAGGCTCTTGTTTATGAATTCATGGCAAATGGAAGCATAAAGGATTGGCTATATCCAACTATTGGCATGAATGACGGAGAGGAGGCAGCTAAAAGCTTGAATCTTTTTTAGAGATTGAATGTGGCAGTTTATATTGGATGTGCATTACAGTATCTTCATCATCCTTGTGAAACACCAATTGTTCACTGTGATCTCAAACCAAGCAATATTCTACTTGATGATGAAATGGTTGGCCATGTAGGTGACTTTGGCCTAGCAAAATTCATTCCATCATACATACAAAATAACACTTCAAGCCAGTCAAGCTCTCTTGGGTTAAGAAAAACAACTGGTTATGCTATGCCAGGTAAGTGGACTACTACATATTTGTATAGAATGCATTCTTTCAAATAGACATGTTACTTAATTTAACAAGTTAATATCTTTGATGTGAGAAAGCTATTTGCATCTATTTTAAAATTGTTGCTCTTATTTCTAACAAATGAATTGCATAATATGGCTTGGGATTTAATGTGACAATATATGGAGAGGTGTACAACTATGGCATTCTTTTGCTGGAGACGTTTATAGGGAGAAGATCCATTGATGAAATGTTTAAAGAGAACATGAACCTTCATAACTTTGTTAAAACTACTTTGCCAAATCGAGTGGCTGAGATTATAGATCCCACTCTTTTTCAACAAAGTTTCGGAGAAGAAACAATGATGAACAATACTTTCAATGATAGTAGCCAAAAAGATACTAAACTTCTTTGGAGCTTGAATTCTATATTGGAAATTGGAACTGCTTGTTTTTTGGAATTGCCAACTAAAAGAATGAACATGGCTAATGCTGTTGCTGAGCTTTGTTCTATAAGAGAAAAGATGCTTCTATTAAGAAAATAGGCTCCAGCCCCATGTAATTGATTTTGGACCAATCAAAGGCCATAGGCCTTAGTCTTTCATTTTACACAGTGCCCTAGCTACTTAATAAAAAGAGGTGGGGTTGTTTTAAGGTGGAGTCACAAACCAAGAAAAGAAAAAAGAAAAGCCAAAAAAATAGAAAGAAAAATGAGAAGGGAGAGTTGATTGAATGGAAGTCAATCTGTGATCCTATTAAGTTGAAATTTTGTCAATAGGTTTATGATTCAGAGTTTTAAATTTTGAACAATGAAGATCAAGTTTGAAGCTCTCTAGGAACAAATTCAGTGTGCATTTGTTGAGTTATCTATTTGGTGAGATTTCTCTAATTATCTCTCTCTAGTTGTTGATTAGCTTTAGTTTTACTAAAAAAGATCTTTGTATAGCCATTATTTGATAGTGGAGATTTTTTTAGTGGTCCATGATTTTTTTCTCTAGACTATAGGATTTTTCACATAAATCTTGGTGTGCTTTATTTTTTATACGTTGTTGATTGTTGATTATTGTCTATTATTATGAGTTTATTACAATATATTGTTTCTGCATTGTTGTGTTTATTGTTTTAAGCCCAACAAATGGTTTCAGAGCGAGGGTTATTTTGAGACATTAATACAGAAGTAGCTCAAGACAGAAGTAAATTCTATTTGAGATCATGAAATGGTGATACAGGTTCCATGATAAAATTAACAACATCAAATTATTCAATTTGAAAGCCTATGATAGAAGATTATTTATACTATAAAGATTTGTATGAGCTGGTATTGGATGATTCGGCTAAACCAGCAAATATGAAAGATAAAAGCTAAAAAAAGTTAGGTAGAAATATGCTGGCTATAATTAAAAAATAGATTGATATCAGTGTATTCATCATGTAGCATAGAAGATTGATGCACACACTGTTTGAGAAAAATTAGTAGCATTATATGAGAGGAAAATATGTGTAAATAAAGTTATACTTGTTAAAAAGCTTACAACTTTATAGTATAAGGATGGACGATCTATTACAGAGTACTTGAGTGATTTTCAAGATATATTTAATCGGATGACTATTATTGAGCTTAAGATGGATGATGAAATAAAAGCATTGTTTCTTTTGAGTTCATTGTCAGATAGCTAGAATACTCTAGTTGTGACTGTTCTTAATTCAGCTCTTGATTATAAGGTGACATTGGAAATGGTAAAGAACAATATGTTTAATGAAGAAGCAAGGCAAAAGATATAGACCTTGAAAATTAAGCTCTAGTCATAAAAAATAAGGGTAGAAACATCAACAAAGGTTAGAACTTAAAAGGTCATAGTAAGTCTAAACATAGATTTAAGTCCAAAGATAAAGTGAAGTGTTTTCATTGTAGTAAAGCAGGTCATATAAAATGACATTGTAAAATCTTGAAGCAAGAGCAAAAAAATGAGAAAGGTAAGAGTTTAGATGATT